TTGGCTACAGATATGTAACAGCAGTATTTTCTGCCCACTTTATCTTTATTTCTTAAATGCCTACATGCAGACATGTTTAGATGAACAGAGCTTTACCTCCTTGCTAAAACATTCAAGTATTTTTTTCATAATTATTTGAATGTTACTTTTCATTTGATTGATGGGCTGAATGCCAAAGAAAACAAAAGGACAAACAGCGATGAATTTTCGAATAATCATTATTCCTAGTAGAAATTCAGGGAGACGTTACTTTTAGTTTAACGGCATCTGTGTTGTTTGATCATTGCAAGTCTGACCCTTTAGAAATGTACTAAAGCCTAATATTTTCTTGTTCTTTGAAATGGTAGAAAACATGACAAAGCAAAGCCCAAAGATTCTAGTAGGAAGAGCGATAAAGAGAGACAATATACAAGTTGCCAAATTAAAAACAAAAAACCCAATCAATATAGCATCAGGTATTTTGGAGCGAGGGGGGAGAAATGCGTGTGTGTGTGTGTGTGTGTGTGTGTGTGTGTGTGTGTGTGTATCTATCTTATCTATCTATATATATATGTAGCTTTCTTAGTGAAGTTTAAATGCATTTAAGTATCACACAAAAATAACAGTGACTATGTTGCACTTAGTAGACTAGAACTAGTAGAATCTTGTATGGGGGATAAGGCAATATGCTGAGTTTATTGTGAACAGAGAATTCAGTTACTGTCCCTCGCTACTAAAATAACCAATAATTAAATAACCCATGTTAAAATGAGATTAATCAACTAATCAAATAGTTGACGGAATTTCCATCAACTATTTGATTTGTTGATAAGGGTGTTTCTGCTTTGAAATGTAGCAAGAGCCTACCGTGCCGTTGCTACATTTCAAAGGCAGAAGTGCCGCCTGGCTTTCCGCCTTTGAAATGTACAAGGGCCCCAGCAGGAGCCCTTGTGCATTTCAAAGATTGAAACGCCAGGTGGAGCCTGGCATGCTGGCCCCAGGCTCCATGCTGTGCTTCTGTTTTGAAATGTACAAGATCCCCAGAGGGGACTCTCTCTGATAAAGGCAGCCGGGGGGCGGGGGGAGAGAAAGCAATTAGTCAACTAGTGTGTCAACTATCCATTAAGCTTTTGCTTATCAGTTGATCAACTTACCTCCCTACATAATACATACACACATTCATACATACAGTTCAGCAAATGGGATATGATTACCAGCTTCAGTTGCTCATGCTAGTCCACTGACCAGGTGGTCTAGATACGAGAAGGGGAGCCGGGTCTTGTAAGTGTGCACCATTGCTCTTGGAGGGTGATAGTAGAACCTGAAAACCTAATCCTATAGTTTCCCCCCATCTTCTTGTTATATGTTTTAGTCCATAGATTTAATGATGATGAGTCATCAGTTAGTGGCAGATGCGACTTTAATCTTTTTCTTGATGGGGCTTTCTTACTTCTCTTTCTTGGGAGGGTTCTTTTGCAGGGATCACTTGCATTGTTCTTCAGCCATCAAGGTGGTCACTGAGATCAGCTGACTTCCGGAACTGATCCCATTGCACACATACCCACAGTCACACTTGTAAATGACACACACCCAGAGTTAAGGCAGTACAAAGTTTGTAATGAGGTTTCAGTTACTGTATGGAGTCACTTTTGTTACAGAGTATTAAAAAGGAATTACAATCACAGATTCTTCAAAGGAAATTCTTAACAGGCTACTAACAAATTCATCTAAAAGTGATTAATACGGTTTCATTTATAAAACCTCTTTAATAAAAATTGGTCTGTAATTCATAAGGTTATATAATGTCACATTGGTACATATAATTTATTAAAATGGTGATTTTATTCTTCAGCCCTACAGCTACATGAATTCCTGACAGTGTATTGAATGGTTTGGGGGGAGGAGGGGTTGGCATTAGTTTTTAATTTGGCAATATGAAAATTCTACTATAATAAATGTGTGAAAATTGAAATATTTGTGTTGTTAAAGCATAAAAAATTGCTTTAAAATCCCCACATGACACAGCCCATATCTTCAATTATTTACTCCTGTAAAAGTCCCATTGAAGGCAAATATTAAACAAATATTACAGATATAAAATACAATAACCAGGAAGCAAATTGACTTGCAAATACAGTAATTTGAAGGGAATATGTGAATTTTGACTGATTGAATGGGGGCTAAGGGACTGATCCCACAGTCCCTTATTCGCTCAAATAGTGTCCCTTCTCCTATTGGTTTCAGTAGGACTATTTAGGTAAGTAAAGGTCTGTGAGATCAGAGACTGAGTTAGAGTTGCAGGATTTGCGTTCCCTCCTCCCCACCACCACGTGTTTGAAATAGTCATTTTTGTTGTGTTGAAGCTTGTTATGGCTGTGAACCCTACAAGTCTAGTGAGACCTGAAGGAAAGGGTGTCAGTGATTTACTGTAAGCTCGTAAATTTAAAAAAAAAACCCAAAAGGTTCCGAGACAGATAGTATAAAAGCTAGGAATTCAGACCTTTCTTGCCAGCAAAAGGAATTTCATCAGTCAGTCATATATTGCTGCATCATTGGCTAGAGAGCTCATCCCCGGGGAGGAAAAATAAATCTGCTGCCATTGTCCCACCCAGTATACCACATCCCTACAGCACAATTAATGTCAAGGACATACTCAGTAGGTGCCCGAAATCCAACATTGCCTGCACATCCAAGATACAAAAGGAGCATGTTAATAAAATCTTGCCGAAATATTAAAGATACAATATACAATAACCAGTAAGCAAATTGACTTGCAAATAGAATAATTTCAAGGGAATATATCTTCTTGCTTTGCCTGTGACACTGATTTACTAAGGGTGGGAGGAGAATGGAACTTTTCAGGTGGTATTTACTGAGAGAAATGGAGCTGTCCCACAGCTTTTATTAATCTGATTTGCAGAGTATCCACTAGCATCTAGGGACCTACTGAAATTGTTTTCTTTAAATCTGATGCAAAGAGGTCAGTTCAAATAGCATTGTGGATTACACTATAAGAAGATAGCGATTCCTTGTACCATATGGAGAAAGAGATTAATTATTTTGCTTTTGCATACTGATTTTTAAATGAAGGCCATGATGCGTATAGATTGCACCCTATTTCTAACTTAAGGCAATAAAGCATTTCCATCATTTTGACCTAAAGTGATAATTTTATTTTTTTCTTCCATCTATAGTTTCTGGGTGGCAGTGTGGTCTCATGGATAGGGCACTGGATTGGGTGTAAGAAGTAGACCTGGGTTTTACTACTGACCTTGACTGGATGTATGACATGAGGCAGAAATGAGTTTACCCCAGTGTGCTTCTGTTTCCCCTCCCATCTTTTATTATATGTTTGTACAATGAGTACAATGAAGCTGCAAAACCTCCTCTAAGCCCTCTAGGCAAAATACCTGGGCAAAATACCCTCCATGGGCTGGATCTGGCCGTCCAAGCCACCAGATCTGGTGCACAGACTCCCTGCCTGCCTCCGCCCCACATGCCTGCCTGCATGCTGCTGAAAAATGGTTTGTTGCAAGGCTGTTTGAACAGCTGTGAGCCTGGGGAAGGGAGGAGAGGGTTCATGCGCTGCTCCCGCCCCCAGCACAATGCCATTGGCCAGTTTCTAGCCAATGGGAGCCACCTGTTGTCAACAGGCAGTTTGGGAAACTCCCTCCCCTCAGGCTCATAGCTGAGGCCGCTGCAGCCAATGTGGGGGTGCGACAGGCAGAGAGCTTACTTGAGAAGGGTGCTGGCTGGGAGCCTCTGGCACCCCAGCCCTTTGCCCCACGACCCCACATAACCCAAAACCTCTGCCCCCTTCCTGCACCCATATCCCCTTCCTGATCCTGCACCCAAATTCCCTGCCCCATGTCATAGCTCAAATCCTCTACCCCTGAACCCAAACCCCGCCCCAAGTCACAACTCTCTCCTGCCCTAGGCCACAGCCCAAACCCTTCCACCTCCTCCTGAACCTTAGTCTCTTTTCCCAGGTCACAGCCCAAACCTCTGAACCCTAATCCGCTAACATGGGTCACAACTGCCTCCTTCATCCAAATTCCCTCCCAGACCCCACATCCTCTCCTGCACCCAGTCCCTTAATGCAAGCTCCCTTCTGAACCCAACCTCCATCCCAGTCCCTGCACCTCCTCCAGTAATATGCATGAGTGTGGCCCTTAGACTACTTTCCAAATTCTTGGAGTGTCCTCCGCCCCTCCCTCCTCCCCCCTCCTCCCTGGCATCAAAAATTATTGCCCACCGTTGCTCTAGGCACAAATGTAACATAAATAATAATAGTAATAATCTGTGAAATTGTAATTTAGGAATCATCCTGATTTGGGTCACTATTTTAATCTTTGCCCAACCTTCACTCTTCGAGAATCTTAAGTGTTTGTCTAAGTTATCCATTAGTATTTTCATGCATTGAAAAGGGAAATTTTGCTTGACACACCTTCAAATGCATCCTCCAGATGTGGTAAACACAGGAGACATAGCTGAATTTGAAATAATGCACTGTGAAAATACTAATCATTGATTTTTTGTTGTCCTCTGTCCTGTATTTATTTGGGGTAAATCTAGTTAAAAATAATCAATAGCGCATTTGACCAAAATAGACAGTTCTACATTGCCCTACTGTTAACAGCCCTTACATGTGAATGGTTTAAAATGGAAGGGGATATTTTAAGGTTTAAAATAAATTGATTCCTACTCCTAACCATGACTGTCTATTTTTTTTAACACTTAGACTTGATTTAAAATATTTGCCACAGAAACCCCTGGAGTGAAACAAAGAGAAAATCAAGTATATTACAGACATTTTTCTGCAATGTGAAATAATTCCTATTAGTCGCTTATAAAAATTGTGCTAACTAGTTAATAGCCCCATGTCAAAAAGTGCTAATTTCCCTAGTTGGATGAATACTTGTATTTGGTTATCTGCAAATCAAAGTGTGGTAATACAATATCATGTACCAAAAGGCCAAGCTACAGGTGCACTTAATCTGGATTTGTTTATCTTTCTGCAGGCTATGTGGCTGATGTTGCAAACGGATGAGCCAGAGGACTTTGTCATAGCTACCGGGGAGGTCCACAGTGTCCGTGAATTTGTGGAGAAGTCATTTAAACACATTGGAAAAACCATTGTGTAAGTCTGAATAAGAGCTAGCAGCAATGGGTTCAGAACCCTATAAGCTATTGACATGTGGTTTTGATTTTGTCATTACATAGCAATATTTCTTTTGTATTCTTTTTCACTTTCTGTGTTTATAACACAAGGTCTCTGGATGTGAATCACTGACACTCTCACTCTATCCAACCGCAGGATATAGCTTCATTACCCACCACTCCACCAAAACCAAATCTTGCAGAATTTCAGCCACCCCAAGTGGGGTAGTTTGTTAGGGATCTCATCTCTGCATTCTTATAGGCTGTTCATATTTCCACTATAAATCCCATCTCCTGCCCCTCAACTCCCAAGCACCGTTGCTCTCCGTAGTTCTGGGAGGACTGACTTCCTTGGCTGACATTAGAATGCTAAACCCTTCTGCAGTGGCTCCACGGGGATAGATGTTTGAGACCTATATTATGGTTGGTGCGCTTTCTCCTCATCACCAACACTGAAGCAGAAACTGCTGCTTCTGCCACCTTCTCAGATTCTGCCAGTTTAAGATGTGACACTTGTAATCTCAGTTCCTCTCCATGTGGCAGCACATCCATCACACTGCTGGCATGAGGTAGTGGCATCACTCTGCATTCTTATTAGCTCTTGTCCTACTGAGCCATAAAACTGTTGAGCTGTGGGTGCAGAATGTTTACAGTGCATATTCTGCATAGTTTGACTGAAAATACAAAATTCCTTCTCAAGGCCAGATAATAAAATCAGGCTGGCTTTGTGAATGCTTTCCGTAATTTATATTTTTATTGTTTATTATTTTTTCAATTTCCCTCCTTCTGTATCTTCTCTGGGCCCCAAGAATCAACATACCAATCTCAGCTGGAAGAGAGAAAGGAAAGCCGCAGGCTCTTCCATGACGCTAGCACCAGGGCTCTTCCTCAGGCCATCAAAGACACTAGTGCAGCTGGTGAACTTTTGCTACGGCCAGTAAGTTTTACTTGGGAGCAAAAACTTGACAAATTCAATAAATATGCAGAAGTGCACAGTTATATACAATATTATTTGAACAATCAGTGGGTGTTTGGGTAGATGATAACATTTTACTTTAATGAATGTTAGTCTGGTTTCAATTTTTGGCATTTACTTTCAGAAAAATTCCAAGGATTTTACAGTAATGAACATCCAACCCAAAAGCTCGATTACAGGATATTTTTCTTCAAATGTTTAGCATCTTTCTCAATGTGCTTGCCCCTCTTCTATACCTCTACACAGTGTGAACTTTCACGGTGACATTTTTCAAAGGCACTTGGAATGGTTTCCTCTTTTTTTCTTTTTGTGGTATTTGTTACATTGCCTTTTTTATGACTGACTTTCACTGGTAAATATTATTTTAAATTGAAAGCAGGTGAAGTGTTATTGTGTACAGATGAGTAATCTTATGATAACAGGAACCCTTTCTTCTGTCTCCTGTTGAACGTTTCTCTACATTAGAAGACAAAGACTTAGTGGCCAAAATATTTAAATGTGAGTGTCTAAAGTCAGGCAAGAAAATTCATCTTTAGAAGTGCTGAGCACCCATTGACTTTAGGTCTGCTCACTTTAAAATTAAGCACTTATATAAGTGTTTTGCTGGACTAGGTTGGAGTGCTTGGTATTTCCAGGATCAAGAGTTAAATGTATAGAGCCTTGCAGCCCACTCATCCAGCAATAGAAAGGAACAATGATTGCGTGGGAAGCAAAAGAGAAAGAACTTTTGTTACAATAGCTCCTCTTACCAATAAAGAGGAAAACCCCATTTTCAAAAGCGAATTGCGTATTTAGGCTCCATTGAGTGTCAGTGAGACTATGTCACTTAGGTGCTTTTGACATTTTTGCCCTTTTACACAGAATTTATTCATAGAAGCAATATCTGGCAATACCAGTGTATTTGCTTATGAGTTTAGTAATGTGTTAATGTAGTTTTTTACATGTGACTGTATAGAAAACTATGTACATTATTTAGGTATTAATGAGTTTTGCTGTGAGGAGAGCTTAGATATGATGATTTTAATACAGTTTTCCAAAATAATCTCAGCTAAATAGGAAACTGATTCCTTCCCCTCTTTTCTTCCTTACAAGGTCAGTGTTTTATGAGAGTTAGGACATTTCTTTATCTCCAATGGCACTCTTTACATTTTCAAAATGACAGCAGATCTTCCCACTACTACTCTATAGTGCACTAGTGGTCTTTCAAAACCCACATCTACTGTAAGCTCTGCCCTGGATCTGAGAGCTAAGTATCCAAAATGTAGTGCTGCAAAACAGTTCATCACTGGGCAAGCCTGAAGTGGTTTGTGTTTGTCCTCCAGTGAAGACACAACATCGTACCTTTTCTTTCTTGATATGGCAATAATATTGTATGCAGGAAAACAGTTTTAAATGTTCCGTCACCACATTTAAACTTCTCTCATCATTTTATACAGTCATCTGTCTTGCTAGTACATATTAATTTGTGCAGCAAACCACACTGTACAGATTAATAAACTTTTCAATAAAGTTATATCATCTTCTCCTATGAAAAGGTTACAACATCTTATTTTACCATATTATCTAGTCTAAAACATGTAAAAAGGAGATCTGTAAACCATGTCATGTAAATAATTAGCTATATAGCTGTAACAAGATGTGGGGTTTTTTTCCTCTGAAATGTAGTATAAAATGAGCATACAAATGTATTTTGTTTGGATTTTTCTTTTAATGCTTTTTTTTAACCAGGAAGAAATTTGGAATGATACTTATAGAATGGCTCAAAGTCATTCGAATTCAGTCCTTTGCACTGACAGGAAAGCCTCTGAGCTACAAATATTTTCCCCCTGTAAGCATTACACTTTTTTTCTTTATACTTTCCCTTCTACTTATTACTAATTAAGTAATACTAGGGGAAAACACTTCCCTCCTATAATTTGAACTACAGCAGGGTTAAACCAAACAGGCAAACGCTTGTCTTGACTAATTTTCTGTCATTAATCTTATTAAATTAGAACAGGATTGCAAGATAGCCTGAAACCACTACAGCACTCAGAATTCTTTGCAGACTGCTGTCTGCAAATGAAAAAAAAATCTATTCAGGCAATGGAATGATTTAGTATAATTTTTTGTTACTATAAAGCTGCATGTACATTTGCAACAGAAACATGCATTGCTTCCAGGGCCAGAATTAATGCAGGAAGATGAACATTTAATTACACTCATCCTTGTTTTATCCTTTGTGATAACTTACCATATAGTCCATAATCATCACCCCACAAATGCAAACTCCCTGTAGAAATAAGGGCTGGTAAGGTGAGTCTCTGGAAGACTCTCACTCAGTCTTTCTCACTCAGGGGTGTGGAGCAGCAAATGGGAATGGCTTTTATATTTTACAATGGAAGGTTAGTATCATGAACACATGAGAGATTGAAAATGGTAGTGATATGTGGAAGAGGAAAGGGAGACCTCGAAAGACTTCAGAAAGAGTCACTGGTTTCACATTAGACTTTTTCTCACAAGGTCTTACTATAGGGCAGTGACTGCATGTTGTACAGTAGACTTCCGATAATCCGGAACCTATGGGACCTAGGTGGTGTCGGATTATCAGATATACCGGACTATCAGGATGTACTATAAGCTGGTAATATATATACTGTATACATTATATACTGTATATAAAGTGTTCTTAACCTTTTTATTGTACATACTCTATACAGTATACTATAATGTTTTAGTTTTTTTAAGCCTTTTTTACCCTTTTTGCTCAGTTCAGCTGTTGCCGCTGTTACCTTGTGACTCATTTTTTGCCGAAGCTCACTCACTAGGCTCTTGCCATTTTGATGCTGGACTATCAGGAGTGCCGGACTATTGGATGCCGGACTATTGGAGTTTTACTGTAGTTAGCAGTATGAGAAAATCAGTACCTTTCAGATCAGGAAGAAGTGAATTGAAGCACACGCCAACTAAGAAAATGTGAGAAGAGGGAATGGAAAATGTCTAGGCAATTTATTTGCTTAGATAAATTCATACATAATTTTTTTTATTATTGCTTTCTCTTTACAGTAGGTATTGTGCTACCACTTTACACACTTCATGCCAGACAATCGAGTCTCAACTTTATAAAACCAACAGACATTTCTGTTTGAATTCCCTGTTCACATGAGTTTTAGAAAATGACAGGTGAAATAACTGCCCCGAACTGCCTCCGACTGATTCTTTTCTTGAAACTTTATTTTAATGTGTTAGTTAATTTTCAGGTTCAGAAGCAGGAAGAAAGAATTTGCAGCAGAACCTGATGCAAAATTTGGGGTCAGAAATCTTGCAAACTCAAGGAAATTTGGTTAACTTATTCAAAGGGAGAAGTATGCTTTGGCAGGGTTCAGTAACCCTATCCAGTTCCTGAAAAACAAGAATTTCAGTTGATTCTCCCCCTCCCCACTTCTGCCCCCGCACATTGTACAGATGCCCATTGAAGGTAAAACTCAGCTCAACTAGAGTTCACCAGTGACCAAGCAATGACCATTCTCCCTGTCATTCATTCAAACAGTTTGGGTAATTATCTGATCTAAACCTTCAGACCTTTTGAGATCCACAATTGTTAAAATGAAAACATTTGCTTCTAAACACAGGTGTTCTTAATAGGAGGCAGATTTGCCAACTCTTGCAGTTTTATTCTGAGTGTCATGATATTTGGTTGGGTTGTGGTTTGTTTGTTTTTTTTCAAAGTCACAGCTTTTGTTGTTAAGTGATTTTTTTTTAAAGAATCTCAGGTTTCATTTTTATGAAGTAAATTTCTAGCCCTTACACACAAGTTGTAGCAAGTTAAATCCTAAAGACTGAAAAATCAGAATGCAGAACAAAAACTCTAAAATGTATTATCTCAAGTCTCATAATTTGTAAGACAACCTTATACATTTTGGGCATATCTCATGGTTTCTGAACACTTGATGTTGCCAATATTGGGAATGTGTAATTCTGTTATTCTACTGTGGTCAGTTAAGTTATAGATGATATGAGGGCCC